TTGCAACACTAACGAGTCACATGACACTGGGAGGGAAAATGGCTAATTGGGCCCAATTTGTACATTTTCACTTAGCGGTGTACTCACTTTTGTTTGCTGTGAGCAAGTGTGAACTCTCTGGCAACAGATACACTTGTTGCTGAATCCATATGGCATTGTGATATCCTGAAGTAGGAACCCTAAACTGTAGTGTGGGGCCGAGAGTCTGATGGGGAGCCTGTTGCATAGTTTCATTTAAAACAGGACTATGAACTGTTTGCTTTACTTTTGCTGAAGGATCATATTTGTGTTTACCTGGTTTGAGAGACTGATAAAGACAATTTAATTTTAAGTGGCTTGCTGGTGGTCTTGGGTCCTCCATATGACACCTTTAACTGCACACTTGCTTAGCAGCAAATCTGGGCAGGAGGAAGGCTGCATGTGTGCATATGACTTTTTAATGTCTGATAACTCAATATCTAATTAAATATACCTGCTAATTATCTCCACTGCTTAATGTCCAACTCTGGGCTCTGTGCACCCTACCCCCTTGAGGTCTCCACCAGTAATATGTAATGCTTTTCCTTTTCATTTTTCCCCCAGTGGTGGGTGGTCCTGGATAAAAGAGAGAGGTGATTACATCGGCACCACTCTCTCCATACTGTAAATACACTGTGAATACAGGGCTCACTGTGGGACAGAACTCCCTGCATTCAATGCTTTCTGATGGGCATCATTAGAGTGGGGCCTGAAGCCAAGCAACAACTTTCTCCATGGGTGGTTAACACAATTTACTTGCACTGCATTTAGCCTTCACTTTCCAGATGCTGGAACACATATATGTTTTAGTTCTAGCACTTCCAGTTATGTACACATACATTTCCTGATTAAAAAAACTGCAGAGGTTCTCTATACAAAATGGTTGCAGAACTAGGCTGGAAATCAGCTAATGATTCATACTTTGCTATGCCTCTACACCTTTGAAAAAGTGTATGGTAAGTGTACTCTGAATAACAGGGACGTTTACACACCCTTTTAGCAGTGCATTCCCAGACTTTAGGCTTTGTTTTGCCTTCATACATTTGGTTGGACCTTTCTCTTGTCCATATCCATGGATCTTCAAAGGATCCTGTGTCACAGTACCATAACATTATATATATATCGCTTCTTGGTTTACATGCCTCAAACACTCATTTGAGCAAGCAAAAAGATTGAAATGTATTCAAGAAGTAAACACCAATTTGAAGTTTCATTTTGAAGAATAAACATATATTCAGGAAGAATTACAAATCAGTGCCAGCTCAAAAAATAGTGTTAATTAGTAGAAAGGTCCTTGTGTACCTCTACGTTATACATACTGTACATCAAAGCTGTAATGCAAAATTGTGTTTCATTGTGTAAATGATTTCAGCCTTTGCTAGCAAAATATCATGCTGACTGCTGATTGAAAACAGTTGTTAATTCTCTACTTCACTAAATTCAGAGTGGAAAAATTTCCTTAATAAAGAACAGATTGAGGGGAACCAAGACCTCACTGTGTTGAAATTAATGGCAGATGCATATACTGGTAGTTAAAATGTTTTCATTAGATGTTAATATCTTGCTGTGTTTTTAATTGTTCAGAAATTAGCCTCCAGAATATTAAAACCATCTGTTTGTTATCATGATGAAACAGAATACTTAAATAGTTATTAATTTGTTTCTTTTTTCTTGCTTGCACAACTTTGATCTGCAAAGATTCTTTCTTGTGTAACTGAAATGAAAGTGGAAATTCATTTTAAAGCATATGTGCTGGGAATAATATGTATTTGGTATCTGCCCATCTTTGCTTTCAGTAAATTATAATCTTTGTAATAAATATCTGACAAACCTAATTTTGTATTGGAGTTTTGATATTGTTATGAATCCTTATAGAATAATTATTTACATGTAAATAAACTCTTTACCTGGATCTCTTGGGACAAACTTTCCCTACAAATATCCAGAGCATTCAGGTGATTAAAAAGATATTTAAAGATAAGCACAAAAGTTTTTCAGCAATTTATTCTTTCATATGCCAAATATTTTTTAAATTATGAAACATTTATGCCATGTGTGATTTTGCATGATGTTTCACTCTAAACGTTTTGACCATTAAGTATCATTAGATTACAAAATCTCCCTTTATGCTCCAGCATTTGCACATCAGGTTGTAGGACACATAGGTGTGACTTTAATAGAACATATAAAATCAGAACAAAAATAAATTAAAGGCTGAATCATGCAGTAAAAATAGTGTGTTCCATGGAACAAGTTTTTCTTTTGCAATATTTATTTGGGTTTACATTTTGAATTTTGAAGCTGTTCCACTCAAAAGCAAAACCTACAGTTATTAATAGAGGTATTGAAGAAATATGCTAACCAATATTGAACATGTCATACCAAACCCGACCTTTTGTGAAAACAGTTGTTTTAGGGATCTGATACTTCCCTGATACTTTGATGCAAATTTGGAAGAATTAAAATATTTAAGACCTGTGTATTGTCTTTCCTTTTCTCCCAATATGTCATGACTAAGCAGGTCTTAATCTGAATAAAAATCAAAGTTTTCTTAATGTAAACCATCAGAACCATGGTGTGTCTTCCCCATTGCTGTAACTTCACATCTGAAAATTGAAATAAACCTATGGCCAGGCAATAGACATTCAAGCATGACATATTACAACCAGTAAATTAACATTTAAACAAGTGATCTTTGACCTTTGCAACTGCAGGCACTGTGAAGCAATTCATCCTCAAGGACCGCAGAAGAAACATTAAAGTCTTTCAAGTTGTTCTCTCTGGGGACACATGTCCCTTCCAAAGCACCTGTTGTGTGTTTACGTTAGAGATAAAGTTGAAAAGCTTTTGAGTCACTGCTGGAATAAAGAAGCAGAGCAAGCTGACCTGCTGAGGGAACTACTTGAAGAACTTCAGTGCCTCTGCTGTGAACTATGAGGATAAATTGTTCCACAGTGCCTACAGCTACAAAGGTCCTTAAGAGCTGATTTAATGCATGTTGGGAATATGTAAATGTTGAAAGGTTATCCAAAGGTTTACTCAAATTCTGGTTTGAAACAAATAAAATAGGTGATGCTAAGATGCCTCAATCGCCAAATAAAGATGTGCAAAATCTTTCATCTACTAGACAGTGAAGAAGTAGTTTTTCCAAAGTTACTGTTACATTTTTTATATTGTCTCAGGCCTCACATTTGACCAACAGACATTATTCAAGCTAATGTCCACTTATTATACTGGACTGTGTATACTGTATAATGTCAACTCCAAGGCCTTTGCTCACCAAGAAGTGGCAAAATGAATGGTTCTTGCTTATAATTCAGACATCAAAACTGACATTAGGCATTTGATAGTTAAAAGAATAAAAAGAAAAATCACATGGATTGCAAGGCAATAACTATAAGTGGATATTTGAATTTGCTATTCAGTTTATATAAATTTAAACAATACATTTAAAGATCAGCTGCAAGTATTAATGGAGCTTTTCAGTGTTTTTCTTGCATTGCTAAAACATCAGTACAGGATTATGTTGTTGTTTTTTTTTTAATATCTAACAATAATTTAGGCAAAACATGAATCATCTTACAGATACCAGTCTCAAATACCATGTATTTAAGTTGGTATCCAGGGGTATGCAGTGAATATTTTAGGGCCAGATGCTAAAATTAAATTACTGCAATAATGTCTGTGTGTACCACTTTGAAGAAAGTATGAAAAAACAATCAGTAGCCAGTGTAAGCAGTAATTTAAGAAGTTTTAGCACATGAACACTAAATTAGTCAGTAAGAATTATTAGCTTTCAAAGCTCCCCTATTGGCACAGATGAAATACTGGCAAGAAAAAGTGAAGAATTATGGGTGTGTCAAAATTATGCTGACAGTAGGAGAGGCTTAAGACTTGAACCCACTCACTGTGTGCAGTGTAACATGTATCACAGGCCTTGTGTCTACAAAATATGCTTTAATTACTGTGCCACAAATGAGAGACTAACAGACATGTAGAAAACTCAGCACAAAGACTTGAAAAAAATTTAACACTTACATTATAAATATGCTTTTCTGCACACTTGATGAAAAACATCATTAACCACTTGAGTCTGTAGGTCTCCCTTTAGTCCCCGAGCATTTTATTTTTTTTTCACTTCAGTGATGTCCCAGTTCCATGTGTTACCTTTTAGCATTTGCAGTCTACTCTAATGTATTATAGATATTTTGGAGGAGGACAGATAGAGATTTAATTTTACAGCAAATGTGTTTTTATAATTGGTAATAAATAGTAAAAAATGTGAAAATAAGACATGTTTCCATCATTTTTCCAAATGCAGTGATTACTGAAGCTGAGCATACCCATATACAGTATGTATCATGTATTTTTAAAATTTATCAAAAACAGTGTGACTTTTATGGAATGTAACAGAATGGTAAAGATCAAAGTGAATGTATGCTTTATCTTTTAGGAGAACTTTTGGATAAAATGTATGTACTGTATGTAGGCAGGTGCTTGCTATATCATAATGCCATTCAGGGACATTTACACATGAGACTATAGTTAATCCTTTTTCCCCCCAGTGCCCAGTACTGGGACTGCTACATCACTTCTTGTTAGCAGAGTGGATTGAGTTCTTCTGACAGCAGAGGATTTGGGGACCTGAAGTCCTACAGCCAATACATACTGCATTTCTGAATGCTGATTGAACTACAAATACTAGAGAGCTGGCGAACCAGAAGGTTGCTGGGAAGGCAGATACACTGCTCAAAAAAATTAAAGGAACACTTTTTAATCAGAGTATAGCATCAAGTCTATTAACTAGCTGCTGACCGCAGATAGCCGAATGACGGCTGCACTGCGGCTGGCCAGTTCTGAGTGGACGTCATATGACGTCCTCCCAGAATGCGCTCTCCTGCGTGCCACAGGGGGCGCTCACCCGGCGATCTCCGTGATCGCTGTGTCCTACGGACACAGCTGATCACGTGATGTGGTAAAAGGCCAATCACAGCGGCCTTTTACCACGTGATCAGCGGTGTCCAATGACACGCTGATCAGAGGGAAATGCAAGTGCCGGTTCTCGGCTGCACTTTCCTCACGCTGTCAGATCGTGAGGAAAGTACTGCCGAGGACCGGCAGTTGTCAGAGCGGGGGATTGGCACCGATCATCAGGGCACTGATGATCAGTGCCCTGATGATCGGTGCCCAGCAGTGCCACCCGCAAGTTCCGCCCACCTGTGCCCAGCAGTGCGCCCACTAGCTCCGCCCACCTGTGCCCAGATCACCCACCTGTGCCCAGAAGTGCACCCACCTGTGCCCAGCAGTGCACCCACCTGTGCCACTCTGCAGTGCCACCTACCTGTGCCCAGAAATGCCACCTACCTGTTCCCAGCAGTGTTACCCACCTGTGCCACTCTGCAGTTCCACCTACCTGTGCCCAGAAATGCCACCTACCTGTGCCCAGCAGTGCCACACACCTGTGCCCACCCACCTGTGTCCAGCAGTGCCACCCACCTGTGCCCACCCACCACCAGTGCCACCCACCTGTGCCCACCCACCAGTGCTGCTCACCAGTGCCACCCACCAGTGCAGCCCAGCAGTGCTGCCAGTCAGTGCCACCAGTCAGTGCCCAGGGGTTGTGCCAGTCAGTGCCGTCAGTCAGTGCCAGCAGTGATGCCAGTCAGTGCCGTCTATCAGTACCCATCATCAGTGTCACCTATCAGTGCCGCCTATCAGTGCTGCATATTAGTGCCGCCTATCCGTGACACCTCATTAGTGCTGTCTATCAGTGCCGCCTATTCGTGCCACCTCATTAGTACTGCCTATCAGTGCCCTTTAGTGCTGCCTATCAGTGCCCATCAGTGCCGCCTATCAGTGCCCATCAGTGCTGCCTCATCAACGCACATCAGTGAAGGAGAAAAAATACCTGTTTGAAAAATTTTATAATAGAAACAAAGAAACTTTTTTTTTTTTTTTTTCAAATTTTTTGCACTTGTTTTATTTATAGCTCAAAAAGTAAAGTGCCCAGTGGCGATTAAATACCACCAAAAGAAACGTCTATTTGTGAGAAAAAAATGATCAAAATTTCATATGGTTACAATGTTGCATGACCGCGCAATTGTCAATCAAAGTGCGACAGTGCTGAAAGCTGAAAATTGGCCTGGTAAATAAGGGGGTATAAGTGCCTGGTAGGCAAGTGGTTAAACTCATGGGATATTGATCTGGTCACTTAAGTAGCAGAGGGGGTTATTAATCAGTTTCAGCTGCTTTGGTGTTAATGTAATTAACAACAGGTGCACTAGATGGACAACAATGAGATGACCCCCAAAACAGGAATGGTTTTACAGGTGGAGGCCACTGACATTTTTTTCCATACTCATCTTTTCTGACTGTTTTTCTCTAGTTTTGCATTTGGCTAGGGTCATTGTCACTACTGGTAGCATGAGGCAATATCTGGACCCTACAGTGGTTGCACAGGTAGTCCAACACCTCCAGGATGGCACATCAGTACGTGCCATTGCCAGAAGGTTTGCTGTGTCTCCCAGCACAGTCTCAAGAGCATGGAGGAGATTCCAGGAGACAGGCAGTTAATCTAGGAGAACTGGACAGGGTCATATAAGGTCCTTAACTCATCAGTAGGACTGTTATCTGCTCCATTTTGCAAGGAGGAACAGGATGAGCACTGCCAGAGCCCTACAGAATGACTTGCAGCAGGCCACTGGTGTGAATGTCTCTGACCAAACAATCAGAAACAAACTTGATGAGGGTGGCCTGGGGGCCCAACATCCTCTAGTGGGCCCTGTGCTCACTGTCTGGCAGCATAGAGCTCAAATTGCATTTGCCATTGAACACCAGAATTGGCAGATCCACCACTGGTGCCCTGGGCTTTTCACAGATGAGAGCAGGTTCACCCTGAGCACATGTGACAGATGTTAAAGGGTCTGGAGAAGCTGTGGAAAATGTTATGCTGTCTGTAACATCGTTCACCATGACCGTTTTGGTGGTGGGTCAGTGATGGTCTGGGGAGGCATATCCATGGAGGGACAAACAGACCTCTTCAGGCTAGACAATGGCACCCTGACTGCCATTAGGTATTGGGATGAAACCCTTGGACCCATTGTTAGACCCTATGCTGGTGCAGTGGGTTCTGGGTTCCTCCTGGTGCATAACAATGCCCGGCCTCATGTGGCGAGAGTATGCAGGCAGTTCCTGGAGGATGAAGGAATTGATACCATTGAATGGCCCCCATGCTCACCTGACCTAAATCCAATAGAACACCACTGGGATATCATGTTTCGGTCCATCTGACTCCGCCAGGTTGCACCTCAGACTGTCCAGAAGCTCACTGATGCCCTGGTCCAGATCTGGGGGAAATACCCCAGAACACAATTTGTTGTCTCATTAGGAGCATGCCCCAACGTTGTCAGACATGCATACAAGCACGTGGGGGCCATACAAACTACTGAGTACCATTTTGAGTTTCTGCAATGAAATTTCAGCAAAATGGACTAGCCTGCTGCATCATTCCTTCACTTTGATTTTCGGGGTATCTTTGAATTCAGTCCTCTGTAGGTTGATAATTTTCATTTCCATCAAATGATGGGACATCATTTCGTTCCTAACACATTACCCAGTCCATATCAGTATAGATATCTAGCAGTGTATATTCTACAGCAAGGAACTGGCTGGTTCTCTAGGGGCAGGATTCACAACTGAACACAGGGGTACTACCGTTCTCTTCCAGATACAGATTGCTGGCTACTACTGCAGGACTCTGCATACCAGTTCAGCACAGGGTTGACGCCGAGATCGCATGAGCTTCTCTGCATCGAGACTGTCACTATCCAGTCTTCACACAGTGAGCTCTGTTTGCCACACTCTGAACTTTTCTGCGAACAGCAAAGAGCTTGTGCAAGAACCCTGTTCCATCATGCTATGGATGCCCAACCTCTTTCTGACAACACTCTACAGACACTGTATGCAGACACCTTTACACCTCAGTTACAGTAGACCTTTGTTTTGAGCATTTATTATAGCCTATTTATTAAAGCCTGTTATCTTCATTGAATTACCATTGCTCACTACTGTATATGGGCCCCACCATTGCTAGCAGAAGACAACAGCTACTATCACATCAGGCACTTTAAACATTTCAGGACTCAAGGGACCTCTTCTCATCTATGTCATTGTTATTTGAATTAGGGTGTCTATACCCATTTATGGCAGAGTATATATACTGTATATATATATATATGCATATATATATATATAAAAATTTATTTCTCCCTATTGTGACGCTGGTGGCCCAGAGGAAGCTTATAAGTCAACAGACCTTTTCTTCCCCTTCCTGCTGCTGGTGTTGCAGTTACACAGTTACAATGTACCATATGTGACCATATAATCTGTTAACCATTGCTATTTGATTATTCCCATTTTATCAGTGTTTTGCTTTTATGTATTAACTGGGGATGTACCTCCTAAACCTTCAGTCTGTGGTCTACTCTTTTGAACAAGCCTAATATAGAGGTGTTACTAAAGAATCGTGTTTCTTGCATTATTATTTCATACTGTTGAAATATGTCTGATTGTCAGAGATGTCAAGAGGCTTGCAAGATCAGGGCAACCACCGGGGACAAGCATTATCAAGTGGCCCCTGTGGGGGTAGTGCTACATGTACAGGTGAAACTCGAAAAAATTAGAATATAGTGCAAAAGTTAATTTATTTCAGTAATGCAACTTAAAAGGTGAAACTAATATATGAGATAGACTCATTACATGCAAAGCAAGATAGTTCAAGACGTGATTTGTCATAATTGTGATGGTTATGGCTTACAGCTCATGAAAACGCCAAATCCACAATCTCAAAAAATTAGAATAGTACATGCAATCAATAAAACAAGGATTGTACATAGAACAATAATGGACATCTGAAAAGTACAAGCATGCATATGTACTCAGTACTTGGTTTGGGCCCCTTTTGCAAATCACAAAAAACGGCTTGAACTATCTTGCTTTGAAATAAATGAACTTTTGCACGATATTCTAATTTTTTGAGTTTCACCTGTATATTTATTTTCTATTGTTTCACTTTTTTATTTTACACTTTATTTTTTCATGGGTTCATTGGCGACCAGATTTAGAAGTGATCTAATAGCAGTAGATCTCTATAGAAGTGATCTGTTGCTACAAAGAGAGGGTAGAGGTGGAGGTGGTATTACACTTCTGATGTAAACATAATGTGGAAGCATTCTGCTTACTTTCACTTTTGCAGCACACTCCATTAGTGCTGAATGTCAGCTGTTATTGAAAGCTGGCAGTTCCAGACTGAACCCCTGTTGGTATGCACAGGGGCCCCGAGACCTGGTTCCATTTTAAAATGGAATAGTCACTATCCCAGTGCTATTTTAAAAGACATTATGGACTCAAGTGGTTAACACAGTCAGCAACAACCAGTGTCTACAGTAAGCAGCAACTGCTGTAAAATATTGTCAGGGATGTTGAACAATTAATTTAGTCAGCTATATCAATCGTTTAATTGATCAATGAACAACTAAGCCTCCTTTATGAAAAAAAAAGAAGAAATTCTTTGATTAACACAATACGATAAGGTGTAAGTATGGACTGTGGAGCTAATATTTAGTTTACAGAAATCACTTACAAACACCATATAACAGTGAAATTGAGATTTAACATAGACGTAAGATTTTGCAATTAATTTTTAAAATGATCCGTTACTAGATACTGTAAGGCAAAAAAGTATTTAGTCAGCCACCAATTGTGCAAGTTCTCCCACTTAAAAAGATGAGAGAGGCCTGTAATTGGCATCATAGGTAGACCTCAACTATGAGAGACAAAATGAGAAGAAAAAATCCAGATAATCACATTGGCTGATTTGGAAAGAATTTATTTGCAAATTATGGTGGAAAATAAGTATTTGGTCAATATCAAAAGTTCATCTCAATACTTTGTTATATATCCTTTGTTGGCAATGACAGATGTCAAACGTTTCCTGTAAGTCTTCACAAGGTTGGCACACACTGTTGCTGGTATGTCGGCCCATTCCTCCATGCAGATCTCCTCTACAGCAGTGATGTTTTGGGGCTGTCGCTGGGCAACACGGACTTTCAACTCCCTCCAAAGGTTTTCTATGGGGTTGAGATCTGGAGACTGGCTAGGCCACTCCAGGACCTTGAAATGCTTCTTGCGAAGCCACTCCTTCGTTGCCCAGGTGGTATGTTTGGGATCATTGTCATGTTGGAAGACCCAGCCACGTTTCATCTTCAATGCCCTTGCTGATGGAAGGAGGTTTGCACTCAAAATCTCACGATACATGGCCCCATTCATTCTGTCCTGTACATGGATCAGTCGTCCTGGTCCCTTTACGGAGAAACAGCCCCAAAGCATGATGTTGCCACCCCCATGCTTCACAGTAGGTATGGTGTTCTTTGGATACAATTCAGCATTCTCTCTCCTCCAAACGCGACGAGTTGTGTTTCTACCAAACAGTTCTATTTTGGTTTCATCTGACCATATGAC